CGGTCGACTTCACGTCTCTATTGGATGTTCTATGGCAACCTCTGTTATCTATCGCACGGGCGTGGGGAACGCAGCCCTAAGGTAGCCAAATCAATGAGACTAAGAGCTCGAGAGAGAGAGAGAGAGAGAGAGAGAGAGAGAGAGAGAGAGAGAGAGAGAGAGGCTGGATGGCAAAACTGAAATATGGGTCAAATTGCGGCCGCGCTCTATTTCACAATTGGAATGATTTTTTTTTAATTTATTGAGCACTTTTTCTGGAAAGATCACACTAAAATCTACGAGTACTCCAATTTTCAGGTTTTTTCACGCATTGTTCTGAGCGTGAAAACTCACTGAATTTGGAGTACTTTTTTAGTTGGCCCACACATGGCTGAATGACAAAAATGAAAAATGTGCCGAATCAACGTGACAATTATTTCGCAGTCTAAATGATTTTTTGAAAATGTTCGAATATTATTCTTGGAAAGAACACGACTTCATCTATGGATTCTCAAAATTTCAGATTTTTTTGCGGGTTCGTCCGAGCACAAAAAATCGCCAAAGTTGCCAGTTGCAAAACACCTGTTTTTGTTGCGCCTGACCTCCCTGTTTTGAGAAGATGGGCCTCAATGCCTGGGCCTGCGGGCCCTTTTGCAGTTCACATGCCCTCACTTCTTTTTTGGGTCCGCTTCTACCCGAGGACCGGTCCAACGCCCCCCACTTCTTTTTGGGGTCCACTTCCACCTGAGGACCGGTCCTTCCTTTTTCCGAAAGTCCCGGTTCTACCAGAGCTAGCTGTAGGTAGTCCGTAATTTTGCCAAGGACCGGTCCCCCAAATTTTTTTGCCCCCTAAGAACCCACTTTAAGTCCTCGCCCGCCGCCAAAAATGCGACACCTTGACACAGACCCCGAAGCCCACTATACCGCAGCCAGGCTGCAAATACAGGTGAGGTATGAAGCGGACTATCATTATCTACCGCGTGGGCGCGGGGAACGCAGCCCTAAGGTTGCCAAATCAATGAGACTAAGAGCTAACACGAGACAGAGAGAGAGAGAGAGAGAGAGAGAGAGAGAGAGAGAGAGAGAGAGAGAGAGAGAGAGAGAGAGAGAGA